GGAACTCTGCATTCAAATGGGTATATCTTTTCTTTTCTCCTTTGTTTTTTGCTTCGCTTTTTTTCACAGCTGTTTCTAAGCCCTCCTCAGAGAGCCATTTTGCTCTTTTGCATTTCTTTTTTTGGGGGATCCTCTTGATCCCTGTCTCCTGTACAATGTCACTAACCTCCTTTGATAGTAAGGGGTGGTGGGCGGTGGCTGCATGGCGCTGGAGCGGTGAGCAGCCAAAAGGAGATACCCCACGTCCACGGTCCCAGCAAGATGGCAGGCACTGAGAGAAGGAATCAGAGGGCAGACAGACAGAAACCACAGTCACAGAAAACTAACCAATCCAATCACATCACCACAGCCTTGTCTAACTCAATGAAACTATGAGCCATGCCACATAGGGTCACCCAAGACAGACGGGTCATGGTGGAGAGTTCTGACAAAATGTGTCCCACTGGAGAAGAGAATGGCAAACCATTTCAGTATTCTTGCCTTGAGAACCCCATGAACAGCATGAAAAGGCAAAAAGATAGGACACTGAAAGATGAACTCTCCAGATCGGTAGGTGCCCAACATGCTACTGGAGATCATCAGAGAAATAACTCCAGAAAGAAAGAAGAGATGGAGCCACAGCAAAAACACCATCCAGTTGTGGAGTGACTGGTGATGGAAGCAAGGTCTGATGCTGTAAAGAGCAATACTGCGAAGGAACCGGAATGTTAAGTCCATGTATCAAGGCAAATGGGAAGAGGTCAAACAGGAGATGGCAACAATGAACTTCGACATTTTAGGAATCAGCGAACTAAAATGGACTGGAATGGGTGAATTTAACTTAGATGACCATCATATCTATTACTGTGGGCAAGAATCCCCTAGAAGAAATGGAGTAGCCCTCATAGTCAACAAAAGAGTTGGAAATGCAGTACTTGGATGCAATCTCAAAAATGACAGAATGATCTCTGTTCGTTTCCAAGGCAAACCATTCAACATCACGGTAATCCAAGTCTATGCCCCGACCAGTAATGCTGAAGAAGCTGAAGTTGAACAGTTCTATGAAGACCTACAAGACCTTTTAGAACTAACACCCAAAAAAGATGTCCTTTTCATTATAGGGGACTGGAATGCAAAAGTAGGAAGTCAAGAAACACCTGGAGTAGCAGGCATATTTGGCTTTGGAGTACAGAATGAAGCAGGGCAAACACTCATAGAGTTCTGCCAAGAGAATGCACTGGTCATAGCAAACACCTTCTTCCAACACCATAAGAGAGGACTCTACACATGGACATCACCATATGGTCAATACCAAAACTAGACTGATTATATTCTTTGCAGCCAAAGATGAGAAGCTATATACAGTCAGCAAAAACAAGACCGGGAGTTGACTGTGGCTCAGATCATGAACTCCTGATTGCCAAATTCAGACTCAAATTGAAGAAAGTAGGGAAAATCACTGGACCATTCAGGTATGACCTAAATCAAATCCCTTACGATGATACAGGGGAAATGGGAAACAGATTTAAGGGACTAGATCCGACAGAGTGCCTGATGAACTATACTTGATCAGCTTATACTTAAAATTGAGTATAGTATCCTTATGTTACTCCATAAAGTACCACTGTGAAAAATTGTGATGGGAACCTAATTTCCTTTCCTTTAAAAGTCGTTAAGTTTCTTTTTTCTAGGTGACAAAGCTTTTTTCTCTTTTTCTTTTTAAAGTCCATGAATTTTACTAGAACATACTAGAACATGTCTTGATGTTGGTCATCTGTGTCAATATTCTTGGGTACATGGTATATTCTTTCAACATGGTTTCAATTTGTTTTCTAACTTCAGGAAAGTTTTCTTTAATTACAGTTTTCATATTTTTCTATTATTTTGCTTTGATTTCCTTTTTCAAGAATGCCTATTTTTTGTGTTCTTTGACTATATTTATCATTACTTTCACTCGAATCTTTTTTATCTTTTAAAATTTTCTTTTATTTCCACCTTCTATCTTTTTTCTTATGGTTAATTTGCTTTTTCCTTGCTACTAGGCTTCATTTCTGACATGATTTTGTCATTTACATCTAATTTTCTCTAGGTTCTATCATCTTACTCCCGAATTTCTGTAATTGATTATATGTTGTTTTTCATGTCTTATATCATTTTCTTAGTGCCTTTTTAGCTCATTCTAAAATCGGAGGTTATAATTTTGATCTATTTTGTGTGCATGTCTTTATTGCAAGCTTTTATTATGTCTGTGGGTGTGTGCTAAGTCGCTTCAGTCGTGTCTGATTCTTAGCAATCCTATGGACTCTAGCCCTCCAGGCTCCTCTGTCCATGGGATTCTCCAGGTAAGAATACTGGAGTGGGTTGTTACGTCCTCCTCCATAGGATTTTCCCAACCCAGGGATCGAACCTGGTCTCTAATGTCTCCACTGGCAGACAGGTTCTTCATCACTAGGGCCACCAGGGTTATTGCCTGTACGAATGTTATTTTGTTCCCCTTACCCCCGTAACTTTGCATATTATACACCCTTGACATTTTTCTGTTGTTTATTTTTATATAAATTTAATTTTTCCTGAACTTTTGGAAGAACGATGTATTTAGAAAAACTTTAAAGCTTCCTCTTCTGCTACTTTGGGATAGTATTAAAAATATGGTGGTTTGCTTGGTTTGTTTTCTAAGATTTCTTGACTCTGTAATTCTTCCCTACTTTTATCTTCACTTTCTTCTCTTATCTCTCTTGTCCCGTTCGTGATAAAATTTTATTTCACTCCTGGCAGTTTTTCTTTAGGGTAGGCTGTGCCTTAGAATGGTGCCTTGGCAAGTCAGTTTTGAAGGTTCACAGGAGTTAAGTCTGCTCTTGCCATTTAAAACCCTTCAGTTACAGCTACTGCTACTAATAGGCCTGGAGAGTCTTAGTAAATATCCTGGAGTTCCATTCACAGGTTCATCAGATGTTGCCCCATTTTCTTCTTCCTCTTGCAGAGATGCCAATATCAACAGGGTCTAGAGGTTATTGGTAGTCTGTCCCCACTTATTTTATCTTGGAATTCTTGGGGATACCCTGTCACACGGTTTTCTTGCAACTGTTTTATCAATTTAAATTTTGCAATCTAGTATCTGTTTCTGTTCTTAAATAAGTTTTCAGAGAAATAAAAAACTATGCCCTGTCATTACTACCATCATTTTACTAGAACCCACTGCTCCATCCAATCCCTTCCCCCAAGGACTAGCTTTTGAGCTACTGTGACTTACTAAGCACTACCATTTTTTAAGTACTGCTTGAGAGAATAGCTAGTGATTGCTTTTTGAAAGACATCACTTTGATGAACAAAGTTTTAAACGTATTATTAGTGTTCATGTCATAAAACTGCCTGAGAGCTATTATTTTTGTTCAGCAACAAAATTTCTCAAGATGAAGAAAATCCAAGATCCTTACATCAAACCAAATTCTTTGCCAAAGGGTAGGGAGGTAAAATAATACTGAACAGATTATGTATTATCAAGTTAGTCTGAATGTCTTAATTTAGAAAGAAAGTGACTGATACATGGCAGGTACTCAAATGTTTGTTGAGTGAAGGATCCAGGAAAAACCTAAGTTAGTTGTCACTATTTTCATCCTCTTCTCAGAAAGAAATGTTTTCCTGTCTAACTCAAACTACGTTTCAGATAAATTAAAGACAAACTACCACTCTGCAAGTTTTGGTAAGCTTTTCCTCATATACCAAATCTGATAGGAATCCGACAACAAAGAATACCTCCGGGAAGTTTAACCCTACCTTCACACTCATAGTATTTTTTAAAAAGAATAAATCATAATTTAAGAGATTAAATCATAACACCAGCATGATGGTGTTCACTGGATTATTTCCCCTCATATTAAACAATGCTATCATCACAACTAAGTCAATTAGCTATACAAATTTAAAAAATAATTTTTCCCCTGTAAAATACAAAATGGACAAGAGATCTACCAAAACCATTAAATAAACACAAGCAACAAACACTAGCCCCAAATTCTAGTTTATCTAATATACTGCTGTCGTTCAGTTGCTAAGTCGTGTCGGAGTCTTTGCCCATCTACTGCAGCACGCCAGGCTTTCGTGTCCTTCACTATGTCCCGGAGTTTGTTGGCTTAATATTTTTTGCCACAGTTCCAATACATGAACTACATTTTTGAGGCGTGCACATAAACTCTGCTCTGGGGTCATTATCCGAATAAGACGATTACAAGTATTAGTGCTCTTACAATCTGTTCCTCTTTCCGTTCTCCCCACTTCTCTCCCTCTCTCCCCCTTTCTCTAACACACACACACACACACACACACGCGCGCGCGCGCGCGCGCGCACATACACGCACAATGAAGCCTTCAAATAAGTGCCCTGGTCCCGTCCAAATGTATTTTTCTTTCTTTCGGAACGGGGGATTGGTACGGGGATTGGTAATAGAAAAAATGTACCGAAAGGCATCATAAATATGAACCATCAGCCACGTCAGAAAGTCTAGGCGTTGGGGGTGGGGAGGGATGCAGCTCGAGATAAGAGAAAGTAAACAGGGGTATTCAACGGCTGAGGCCGTTAGTAATGTTCGTAGGTTGGTGTGCTGGCTCTGGTGGGGACCCGGGGGAGGCCCTAAGAGAACACCCACTCCTCTTCGAAACGTCCAGAAAGAAAAACGAAAGCTGCAACTTCCTGGGAAGGAAGGCGAAGCACTCCGGAGAGCGTCGCTCCCCCGCACTGCGTCGCTCCCTCGGACTTGATGTCGGAGTCGCGCAGGCCCTGCCCCGGCAGTAGCTGTCAGAACCGCCGCATCCCCGCGGCTCTGCCCACAGGAGGGCGACCTGTGCGTTCGCTCCCACTCAGATCACCAGGGTGTCCTTAAATGTCCTGCTCCCCTCCCTTCGGCGCTCAGCCAGCTGACGACGAGCAGCAGGAGGCGGCTGGGATCCCAAGTCCCAGGGTGGAGAGAGGGCCGCCGAGCCCCGGGTCCTCCGCCTTCTCAGCCGCTGACCCCGTGCTCACCCACCTGATGCTCCTTCACCACTTCGCTGAGGCAGGGATATCGCTCCGAGATCCATCGGTAAAACTTGGGGACTCCCATTCCGGCCGTCAATATTAACTCCAGGCAAGGCCAAACCGAAACCAAACGCCCCGCCGGGGCCTACGCAGCCGCCTCCGGCCGTCGCTCCGCGGATGACAACACACCGCCCGACCGACCATAGAGAGCGGCCGCCGGGCCTAGAGCGGCCGGCTCCGAGGCCGCATCCCCGGGGCGGGGCTCTAGTCCCGGCCGAAAGGCTCAACGCAGAGCTTCCTGGTGGGTTACACGGCAGAAAGCCAAGGCGCGTTTGAATACGCGTGCGAAATTCAATCAAGAGCCTGTCCGTTGATGGAGCCGTGCGCTATCAGTGGATTTGGAAGTGGTGTGGAAACCCCATGAGACGACTGTAAGAATCCTGGCTCTTTCCGTCTCTTACAAATCTCAGTGGTTTTCAACATGAATTTGTAAAGGTCCGATGATTATTTGGTTTACTTTGTGAGCGGAAATTTTTCGAGATTACGACAGTTTCTTTTCAAAACTTTCTTTTTTCAAATTATTTGCTTAAAATAATTTCCTAATACCCCTCCATCCAGCTTACTCTACAACTCTTTACATATGTTTAAACATTTATACCTCTTGGGTTACCCCCATCACACTTAAACTGTGCAAAAGGCAGAATTTTGTAAGGTGAACTTAAGTGAAATTACCTGTTATGAAAAGTTTTCCATTTATTTGTATATAATCTCATTGCTTTGTAATTACCATGAATTATTTTACATCTTCTGTAATAAAACATACCCCCAAATTTATTATTAAAATTGTCTAGATTTTAAAACCTGTGAAATGTTAAGTACTGCTTTTCCCCCAAACTATAGGAGTCTGCATTCTGGTGCACTTTTAGTATGGTAGTATCTTTAAAATTACAGAATGTTTTCATATTCATGCTAATTGTCTAACTTTTCTCTCCCTATCATATTTTAAACCATACCAAAAAAAAAAAGGAGTTTTACTAAGTGAACTTAATAATGTGCTATTTATGTTTACATCTCTCTTACTAGACAATTCCCAGAGGGCAGGGCAAGTATTGTTAGCTCTGTGCACAAATACAGCACAGTGTTAACATAAAGAGTATTTATTCAATGTAATTTTTTGTTCAAATGAATCCTTACGCTAGCACTTATAATCGGTGAAAATTGTGAAATGAAATTAGGCTGGCTTGTTTTTTGCAAGTATCTTTTTAGAGCATAAAAACATACAATATTCCATTTCTCCAGTTATAATACACAGTATATATTAAGAAAGCAGTTTATTTTGTAACAACATGTATTATTTTAAATATTATTAACAATCAGGGAGAAATACCAGTTACTCTGAGAATATAAACATATGTTGTACTTTGAATTGAATAGATAAAACCACAGATTAATGCACCAAATGCATTAAATTTAGATTATTAACATATTCTTTAAAGTAATTCCATTTTACATATATGGGGTCCAACCAAGGTACATCTGGCATAGCAAATTTTCATCAGTAGCTTCTTGTATAAGGTAATGCACGTGTCCTTCGATAGATAATGGCAGCCCTGTCACTCTATTTCGGGTCTTGATTACACCTTGCAGTCGCTGCTCAATGTCAAGAACATGAGTCTTGGCCTAAAAAGAAATGGAAGATCATAAGAACTAAGGACCCAATGACATGTGGATATATGTTTATAAACTGGAATTACTGACTTTCTGTTATTTAACAAATATTAATGCCATTTTACTGACCTTTACTGCTTTTATAAGAGCAAATACAGACAAAAGAGAGAAGAAACAAATATGATAACTTGAGATACTGATCTTAAAACTTGCAATGTTGACCTAACATCAACTGCATGGATGTTTTTCAGGACTAAGTGAAATATCAATAATCTCTTCCACATTAGAAGTCTAGAACAATAATTAATATAAAAAAACTACCCTAAAAAGTGTTTAGGACATAAACACTTGAATATTAATATTCTAGGAATAGCAATAATACTCTGATGCCTAATATTTTTCATTAGTATATTCAAATGGGAGTTCTACATGAGCATCTGGAATCCTACACATTTCTCTCAATCAAAACAGCATATCAGAATGCAAGTGAGAATGATGTTATTAGAATAACAATCCTCAACCTATTCTAACTTATTTAAAATAACTATCTGGAAAATTTGAGTCTTCAACCAATATAGTCATCTCACTGTAGCCAATGATTCAACCAACAGTGGACTGAAAAAATTCAGGGGAAAAAATTTCCAGAAAGTTCCAAAACAGAAAACTTGAATTTGCCATGTACCAGCAAATATTTACATAGCATTTACACTATATTTACAACTATTTACATGGTACTTACTTTGTACTAGGTACTATAAGTAATCTAAAGATGACGTAAAGTATATGGGATGATATACACAGGTTATATACAACGCCATGTCATTTTATATAAGGGATTTGAGCAATCCAGGATTTTGGTATCCACTCCAAGGGGGTCCTGGAACCTATCTCCAATGGAAACCAAGGGAAAAGGGACTACTCTGTTAGTAGAGTGACTTCTACATACTGAAGCTGAGACCTGCCGCTCTATAAATTCAGGCAATTTGTGTTCATGTTTTTCCCACTCTTTATCATATTGTGAATTGTTATGATTAAACAGGCATATCTTGAACTACTTTTATTACATGATGGATAATAGTGTTAACATTAGTAATGACAAAACTTACAGCATTGTCATACTACTTGGAGAACTAAATTTCAGAGTATTCAGTAGTCAGTCACTGAAATTATTTAGAATCAGTTTCCATTTGCAGAGAAATACAATATCAGTTCATATCAAGCTACACCTTCTACTAACCTTTTCATTGACAACTTCCCCTGTTTCATTCAGTGCTGCTTTGGAATGCCCTTTCACTGGTTTACTCCATTCCACAAGAGGATCATGTAGAAAAGTCTTTAAGACACTAAAATGGAAACAAATATTATGATAATACAGCGTTATTTTTATAAAAAAGAATTCTCATTAAAGTCAACACTTAGGTGAAGGGTAACTGAAGGATGAGAAAGCTAATCATAATACTTTACTAAACACATTACTACTATTTCAGAAAATGCTGTACTTCTTCTTTCAGAGAATTTGCCTTTGCCTACACATAACCAATGTATTCTACCATAATGCCTGGTAGACAGCTCTTAAATAAAAAAAAGTGGGTAAGTAAGCTTTAAATGTTTTTCTAAAAAACTACTTCCCACAACTAACATCATATGTAATGGTGAAAGACTGGCTTCTTTACCCCTAAGGTTAGGAACAAGACAAAGATTTAGATGTCTCCCCACTGCTATTTGATGTTGATCTAGCTAGGATAATTAGGTAAGAAAAAGAAAAGGCACTGAGATTAGATTGGAAAGAAGTAAAATTCTATCTACAGATGACCTGCTGTTGTAGAGAGAAAAATCTTAAGGCATCTATAAAAATAACTATTACAACAAATAAATGGGTCCTGTAAGATTATAGGATACAAGATCAATATATAAATTTAGTTATGTTTCTATACACTAGCAGTGAACAAACATGAAATTAAGAAAAAAATTCCTTTCAGAATAGCATTAAAAGGAATAAAATACTTAGGAACATATTTTTAAAGTTAACTACAGATTTGCAAACTAAAAATTATAAAACGTTGAAAGAAATTGAAGAAGACTTAAATAATAGAAAGACTTATCAACTTCATGGATCAGAAGACAATATTGTTAAGATGGCACTGCTCCCTAAATTGATTTACAGATTCAGTGTCATTCCTATCAAAATTTAGGCTGGCTATTGCTGAAAATGACAATATGATCTTACAGTGTATATGGAAATGCGAGATACTTGGAACAGTTAAATAATCTTGAAAAAAAAAAAAAGTTGGAGGATTCACACTTCCTGACTTCAAAGTGAAAGCAAAGTTGCTCAGTCGTGTCGGACTCTTTGCGACCCCACGGACTGTAGCCTACCAGGCTCCTCCATCAGTGGGATTTTCCAGGCAAGAGTACTGGAGTGGGTTGTCATTTCCTTCTCCAGGGGATCTTCCTGACCCAAGAATCGAACCTGGGTCTCCCTCATTGTAGGCAGATGCTTTTACCATCTGAGCCACCAGGGAAGTCCTTACTACAAATCTACAGTAATCAGAACAGTGTGCTATTGGCATAAGGTCAGACATATAGATCAATGGAATAAAACTGAGAATCTAGAAATAAGCCTTTACATGTATGGTCAATTTGTTTTCAACAGAAGTGTCAAGACAATTAAATAAGAGAAAAATAATCTTTTCAAAAATGGTGCTGAAACAACTGGATATATATATTTAAATGAATAGAGCCCTACTTCACTCTCGATGCACAAAATAACTAAAAATGATCAAAGATTTAAATAAGAGCTACGTGGAGAAGGAAATGGCAACCCACTCCAGTACTCTTGCCTGGAAAGTTCCATGGATGGAGGAGCCTGGTAGGCTACAGTCCATGAGGTTGCAAAGAGTCAGACATGACTGAGCAACTTCACTTTCTTTCTTTCTATAGTTCCTTTTGGAGAAGGAAATGGCAACCCACTCCAGTACTTTTGCCTGAAGAATCCCAGGGATGGAGGGGCCTGGTGGGCTACAGTCTATGGGGTTGCACAGAGTCGGACATGACTAAGCAACTAACACACACACACATACATACACATACTCTGCAAATATTAGTGCATGACGTATGCAAACGTGTTTACTTTTATAAGTAAACAGCACAAAGTATTGTAAACAATCCCCAAAAAAGCTGTTTTGTATTATGGTTAGTTTTTTTTTTTGTATCCAGCAAATAGTTGCATTTTAATTGCAACCTGAAATTGTCCTTGTAAGAAGAGATTTCATCTGTTCACAATAAACCACAGTTTGGGTGTATTTTGTATATTTGGGCTTAAAAAAATTAAGAGCTAAAACTGTAAAACACTTAAGACATACATGTGACTCTTCATGACTTTGAATTATACAGTAGTTTCTTAGATATGACACCAAA